TGTAGATGATATATGGAGAGTGACGTATGACGTGTGTGTATGGATCAGTGCAGCTTGAGCTGACTGCTTGAACTAGCTTGCAGGTGTCCCTCTAGTTTTGATGCAAAATATTCGCAGGCGAGTATTTTGCATTTTTGTGTCATTTATTTGTCACGCCCCTCAAGGGTAAAGGCCTTTAGAGTTTCTATAATGATGCTACAGCAGTGTTTGGATGATTTATATTACCTGAACTGGCTGCTGTAGTTTTATGATGCAAGTTGGTTGGAGATAGACAGTTAGCTTAAAAGCCTGCTGCTCTATGTTTTCAGGGAAGCTACCTGAAAGATTTTAAATGTAATTGGAAGTTAATGAACATATAAAGCTTTGGATTTCCTTTATATTGCATTTTAATTGTGAGCTAACAGTATTACACTCATTAGCATATCTATTGATTAATTTAGTTTTAACACAGGGGTGTCAAACTCACTTTAGCTCATCTCAAGCGGGCCAGACCAATAAAACTATTGTAGAATAACCTCGAAATAATAATAACCTTCACAACTGCTATAATATTGGGTGTGCAAAGTCATCAAGTGGGCCGGATTGGACCCTTTGGTGGGCCGGTTCTGGCCCTCAGGCTATATGTCTGACACCCCTGTTATAAACCGTACTGCCTTTTGTCAGCTTTGTGGCTCCATAGACTGAATCACCAAATGGCTCTTGCTTTCAAGTGCATTACCACATAATGATAGAATAACTGACGGGAAAAACAAGGGCAAGGAAGCGGACATTTTGATGGATTACATATCTCAAGCGAGCCTCCGTCTCAGCACCCAGCAGAAATTAATACAAATCACATGATGCCTGGAGGGAACTGAAGGAAATCCACCTAAAAATGAATGAATGGTATGCTTTGAAACACCCTGTAAAGAAAATGTGATTTGTATTTAATAGGCTAAAACATGTTAAATCACTGGTATGGCCATTTAATTTGAAAACAAAAAATTGTTTTTGGAGCTGTCAGTCAGCTATTTAAATGACAAGATGATATGCTTGTAATAAACACAGAGAAGTGCTGTCAGTGTACCAGCATAGCAAAGCACAGCCGCATTAAAACCTGCTGCTCCAAAATGCCTTCCACAGAGACACATGTTGGGATAATACATGGCAGGGCTTCCTGCTACATGAAGATAATGCTGGATGGCAGCATTTCAGGGCTTAGCTGTTTATAGCTGAGAGCTGCTGTAGGCCGCTCCCTCTACTTTTTCACTTACATAAACCAAACCATGAATAAGCAGTTTGAAAGCATAACACAGCTACTTAAGGACTCAGTGACTGAATGAATTCTTGACTCTGAATGATTCCCTATTTAATGTTAACCGGTGTTGACGCCACCGCTTGTGACAGCCGTACCGTCAGAGTGCAGATGTCAGAGACACTCCATCAGTTAGTGGTAATATGTGATCACACTACACTGACCTCTGGGAAATTGAGTCTTTAATCACGACATCTCCAGACCCAGACTCCTGGTGAATTAGCATTCCTTAGATGCCATCTAATCTTGCAGCTTCTCATGCCAATTCATTCGGCGAGAGGACACTGTTTGACTTTGTGCCATGTAGTGTCAATGCAATTCTGATTGATGAAAACAGGCGCCTGAGGCTGAGGGATGTGTCTCTGCTGGGTGTGAGAGTGATAAGCAAGCTCCGCTCTCTGTTTCGTATGATCTCAGTCCACATAAACAAGCGCAGCACAGACAAACAGAGAATATCATGTTGCTTCTTTTCTGAGTCCAAATGTTGCTGGGTGTTAATAAGTAAGATTTATTTTAGAGTTGCATGGCATCCAATTTTAAAAACAGCTCTAATAATTCATTAACCTCAAAAGGAATGTTGATGGTTAGATCAAAAAGTAAACTCAGAAAGCTCACTTTATTTGGTGCAGGTGCATTCACATGGATTATTGTGTGCGCCTTTCATAATTACATCTCCCTTTAATTTCCCACAAGGATAATTTGTTTTACTGTCTTTCTGCCCTGGTTTCACCTGCTGCGTGCCGGACAGCAGGCCTCTGAAGGATTTAAAGCGCTGACAGTCAAGAAGCCATTACAGCTCACTGAGAGGATGGCCAGAAAATTGGTTGGCTTGCAGCAGCAGTAAATAAGATGGAGGAGACCCTTGTTTTTCGGCTTGTCAATAGCTGGCCTTAGGGCGGTGGTGTCTCGAGTCAGAATTTAAATGTGGGAGAGAAGAGAAGAAATTAAAATGAGACCTGGCTTCAGGCTAGAGAGAACATAAAGCGAAAGTTCCATGTTTGATCTAAGGTAGCAGCTGGAGGTTATATTCCTGCTGTGAGCGACTTTAAGAGTGTGTTGCTGTTTGAGGCTTCACGAAGAAGCTCAATCATTGTAAAAGGCTTTTTTTTGTTCAGCAGGCCTGTTGAAGTGTCCTCTTAACTCAGAGTATTATTCGGTTCTGAAAATAATTCTCATGCACTCTTAGAACATATTAAAGTAATACACCACAATTCATATATTACCTTCGTAATCATGAGCCAGTATGTCATGTATAACCCACGTAATCAGGAAAATTAGGATCATGTGATCAACGCCCTCACGGGAGTAAAGAAGGACCTTGTAGAAAGACCTAATCACCCTGTAAGGAGTCAGGTTGGGGTGGTGGATGGGTCAACCAACACAGGACTTTCCCCACAGGAGACCAGAGTTCAAGACTAAGTTAAGTTATTTTAAGTACATCATCACCATCTTTCTTTTCTAAACCCAACCTAGGTAACTTCACTTGGCTAAACCTAAAGATGCCTAACCATGTTTCTTTTCCTGAACCTAACCAAAGTAACTTTACTTTTCTAAACCCAATCTACACAACTTATTTTTGCCTAACCCTAGCCTATGTAACTTTACTTTCCTAAACCTATCCTGCATAACTTTACTTGCCTAAAATTAAAAAGTCATGAGAACTTCTACCTACTCCTTTTCAAACGCTAAATATTTACCTCTGTTACTATGATTGTTTTTTATTTTTATTTTGTATGACTGACTACCTTATTGATCACCTATTTTGTTCTATTTTTATTTATGTTCGAAATAAAGATTCTAATAAATAACCCTACCTACATAACTTAATTTGCCTAAACCCAGCCTACATAACATTACCTGTCTAAACCTAACCCACATAACTTAACTTGCATAAACCTAGTCTCCCTGAATCAGCCTAAACCTAAGATATGTAACGGTTCTTGCTTAGACCCAACCTATGTAAAATTTAACCTAAACTCAGCCTACGTAACTTTACTCCCTAAACCTAACCTACATAACTTTACTCTAACCCTAACCCACGTAGCTTAAGTCACCTTAGCCTAAGCTACGTAACTTTACTTGCCTAAACCTAGCCAACCTAACTTAACCTGCCTACATCTAACCTATGTACCTTAAGTCGCCTAAACCTAATCTACATAACTTTATTTGCCTTAACCTAACTTACGTAACTTTACTTGCCTACACCTAACCTACATAACTTAATTCTATACCCAGCCTACGTAACTTTACCCACCTAAACCTAATCCATGTAACTTTACTTGCCTACACCTAACCTACATAACTTTATTCTAAACCCAGCCTACGTAACTTTACCCACCTAAACCTAATCCATGTAACTTTACTTGGCTAAACCTAGCCTACTTAACTTTATTTGGTAAAACCTGGCCTACTTACCTTAACCAGCCTAAACCTAACCTACGTCACTTAAATCGCCTCAACCTAAGCTGTGTGGCCGTTCTTGCCGAGACCAAACCTACATTAATTAACCCTAAACTCAGCCTACGTAACTTTACCCACCCAACCCTAACCTACATAACTTTACTCTAAACCAGCCTACGTAACGTTATCCACCTAAACGTAACCCACGTAACTTTCCTTGCCTAAACCTAGCCTACATAACTTGACCCTGCTAAACCTAACCTACGAAACTTAGGTCCCTAAAACCTAAGCTACATAACTTTTATCGCCGAGACCCAACCTATGTAAATTTACCCTTAACTCAGCCTACGTAACTTTACTACCTTAACCCACCTGCGTAACTTTACTCTAAACCTAATCCATGTAACTTAAGACGCCTAAACCTAAGCTGCGTAACTTTTCTCACCTAAACCCAACCTATGTAACTTTGCTCTGAACTCAACCTATGTAACTCTACCACTTAAACCTGACCTACATAATTCTATGTTAAACATGTAACTTTATTTTAAGCATGTATCGTCAGTCTTGGGGTGCTAATTTGTTAGATATCATATGAACCATTGTATGTGCATTTTCATGAGACACCATAAGAACCATTGTATGTGGATATGTTGCCTGAGCTTTAATTGAAACAAAACAACCAGTGTGGTGATGGCAAATCCTGCCAGAATTTAACATCGCCACATAAGCAAATGGATTTTGTTTGGTCCCAGATTTGTTTTCTATCATGAATCTGCCATTAGGTTATGAGTTTTGTGTCTGGGCTTGATTGGATTCTTCCCGCTCTAGCACATGAAGGCAGGGCCAATACTAAAAAGCTGCTGAGCTTTCATGTCTTTTTTCCTGTCAGGCTCAAACATGGTCAGTCCCATAAAAGTGAAATTACAGCGCTCATTGTAAAATAAATCCATACTTGAAGATGTATCATTAACCCAAGGGGAAGTGAAAAGGAGCTACAATATAACATGAGCCTAATTTCATCATTACTGATGACAGTCATTACCATTAAAGCTTTTCATTATCATAATCATTATTACAGCACCAATAACAGAGTAACTGTGGCCACAGGGAGGGCAAGGGGCTGAATGAGAAGAGGATCCTGTCACCAGTTTGTTGTTAGTCATTAATATAGGAGTGGAAGGATTCAGTAAAACAGTATCAGGGACTGAGTGTGCAATATAGATGTTCCCCAGGATCTGTGTGCACCAGGTAATAGCATAATATCTTATATATGGACATTTTCTGTATTCAGAAATGGAGAGACTCACTGGGGACGGGACCACCACAGTGCAGATATTATGGAAGATGTTTTTTCGTCAGGATCCAGGGAGATGATGCTGAGGAGGAAAGCTGCAAGAAATTCAAATGAGATTAGTACAAGTGTCATGGTGGTGTCACTAACACCGAAGACAAATAAAACTGTTACAGAAACAATAAAACTATTACAGAAACAACCAACCAGCGGCCCACTCACCCACAAGCTGAACATCCTGGAGGAGGATCTCTCTTCACCCCCCTGAGGAGCCTTTCTGTGTGAAAATTGAATGTTCCCCCCCTGCCTGTGTGGGGTTCCCCGGGCTGCTCAGATCTTCTCCCACAGTCTGAGGATATGCAGGTCAGGCTGATGCTGTCCATAGATGTGACCAGCACCTGAAATTCTAAAATAAATGTTTGAAGACGGTCACTCGACTTTTTGACTCATTATTTCCTAAAATCTTCCAAGAACATTACTTGAAATTGGCTTCGCTATTGATTTACCCCATCAAATCACTGCATTGGCACCCTAAGACAGATCTTTGCAATCACCACCCAATCAGGAGGTAGCACTCACACAATATAAAACCCCAGCACACCTGCTGTTCATCTCACTTTTTCACTTGGCTACCTAGAGTGGTAGAGCTCAGTTACAGTCACAGCAAGCTATGCAACTTGTGCTCTTTGTCTCTGTCAGCCTTCAACAGCCACAAGACCTGCATTTGCCACGGCTGGCGTCAATAAGCTGAAGCCAGGGGATGTCTTGTGCTCAAACAGCGGCAGCAGTTCAAGGAGTCTGTCTGCTTCCACCGCACCTGCCTGGCGCCAACAGGGGGAGGCAGCGGCAGCTCCGTGATGAAGCCCTACAATGGTGTCGAGGAGGACCATGAGTGGGTGTATAAGGAGGAAGACCCAGCCACCCTGCTGCTGAGCACAATCCTCTACCTCCACATCTGCTCTCCAAAAGCCCTGTGAAGTATTTTATCCACATCCTCACTGCTCAGTCACGTGCCAAGCAGAGGCCACGTGTCAACTGCCCAGCCATGGCACCCAGCGGGTGGCTAGCCCTCATTTCCATCCAAGAGCGACAGAGCAACGCAGTGCTATGCCCTTGCCATCCTGGGGGTGGCACTGTTGACCAACATGGCCTTTGTAGTGGGCTCGCTAAACCAAATTCCCAACAGGTAGACTAAACTTGCCACTGAAGACATTTTTGAGATCCAGCCGACAGCGTTTCCAGGCCTAACAAGAGTTTAAGTGTGTGTCTTATCTCAAACTAAGACTGTTAGTTGTGCTAACTTACAGTTACTATATAGTAAATTTAAGTTAACTTGTGTCGCTGATAACCGGTGGTGATGGGGTCTTAAAAAAGATATTAAATTAAACTCCAAGATTCGTGCATATACTCTGCATTCATATTTTTAATTTCAAAGATAAAACCTTACACTCACTTTACACCTCTTTTTAGATATACTCTATTGTAAAGGAGATCATTCTGCACATGGATCACAGCAGGGGAACATGAATGAATGACATTATGCCTTACTTAAAGACAGAACCCAATTTCCTCTTAATCTTGACTGATACATTTTTAGTCACAGTGAATCCACCTGATAAAAATCACGAGATATAAATTGCTAATTATAACCTGTGAGTATTGTTAAGTTCTGAGCACCGCAGCCGGCCACCCATCTATTACTGAAGCATTCAAGTGGTAATTTGGGTTTCTGCAGGCAAGTTGTGGAGGGTTTTTATAAGGCTGTGTAAGCAGCTCAGCTTGCATCAAGTGTAGATCTCTGTCGCCCTGAATTCACAGTTTCTAAATAACACGGACAGGCGAATCTTTAAATCATGGTGATTATTTCGTATAATGGCTTTCCTGCTGTATTTTTTTCATTTTAGAGCAAAGAAGCGAACCTCGCTAATGTGCCATTCAGTATTTATGAATAAAACTTGCACAGCCTGCTTAAGTCACTCAGAGTTGTTATTTTTAATCAAACATACCTAAGTGACTCAGTGGAAGTGATCTGAACATCAGGCTGAGGATGAAAGCCGAGCATTCTGTAAACAAGCAGTCCAGTCTGGATGCACTTCAGCTCTGATACACATCTCATGCTGCGCTACATCTGTGTGCACTGCAGCTCTTTGACCTTGGATGTGGCTCAGTGGAAGAGCATGTTTCACACATATGAGGTCCACGATTAATCTCCTGATTCATTAGGAGAGTACGGTGATACTGAATCTCACTCTGTCGTCTTTAAACTAGAGGTGCCAGGTTACAGGCTCTTTAGATCTTTGCTCTGCTGACCCCAGTGATAAGAAAATGTCCCCACCGGGATGAATAAAACTGGTGTGTGGACAGCCATATTAAACTATATCATGGCTTGGCATTCATTGTTGATGCAGCTGCTGCTCCTGGGAACCAGAGCAACCACCTCCCTGTAACCTCTCGTGATTTGTTGCACCTCCTACCCAACCCATATTTCTGATTTCAGCTCGAATTCACAAGAAAGCCCCTTGTTCAATTCCCTTGAAAGAACCCAAGATAACATTAATGCGCAGCTGTCTAAATAGTATGCTGTCTGAGAGCAAATTCTCAATCAGATACAGCCTCTGAACAGGCCCATTAACGGGATTAGCAAATAGCTTTTCAGCAAACGAGGCAATGATTGACCTTGCAGTGATACTCGGATGAACAACCTGTGAGCTCGGCTGATGCGCACCCAGCTCATCGAGTCTTGTTGCACTACACGGTTCTGACATCCCACTAAGTGAGCTGTGAACGACTGACTTAAAAGAATAACTTAACCAAGACATCAGTCTTTAGCAGGCCTTTGATAACGGAACGTGCAATTTGCAGAAACAGAATCTCTGCAGAAGCAGCGGCGCTTTCCTGCTGCTTACCACCTGTGTTCATGAACTAAGAGAAGAAGATGGTTCTCATTATTTCTGTCTCAATAATATTCTACCCCTGACACAGGCAGACCATTTGCTAATATTAGAGACATATAACATACAACTAGTACATATCTACCCATCACTGAAATTGTGTAGAGCCATGCACACACCCACACACTCACGACAAGCACCCTGAAATTAAAGGGAGTCAGTCAGTTGAAGCAACCAATATTGTTTGGCTTGTTTAAAGTGAAAGTTTTGAGGAAAAGCACATATCATGCAGGCTTTTATTCATAAAAACATTTTTATCCAGGCTACACCCCCCTGCTTCCACAGTCTGTGGCAGAATCAATCAATCAACCATATAAATGTATTTTAGATGGCTGTGGTAAAATGTATTTATGATTAATATGTATGTGTATGTGTATTTTACCTTGCATCAGCTTGGAGGCCCAGGGGATCCAGGCCTGGGAGAGAGCAGCTCGTGTGTTTCAGAACCAGTCTGCTGTCAATTTTCTGCCACAAAGAAAACACAGTTGTAAATATGTTTGTGTTTTTAAATGGGAATTTACCTGTGACTGATCCAGTAATGTGATGTTGTAGAAAATGGATGCTTGCCGTTAATAAATGAGAATCGTCTCCTCCCTGCGAACATCAGAGTATTGTGGGAAAATGATTCTTGCTAAAACACAGCTTTTGTTTTTTCCACACTTGAATCATAAACTGAATTTAATAATGAACACAGTTTGCAAAGCTTTGAAAATTATTTGTTGAGCAAAAACTGCATAGCATAACATCAATCTAAAGCTAACACAAAGGTAAACATCAGCCCCAGTTTGAGATTGTCTCTTTAGATGAACCATTTTGTTCCGTCAATCAACAATCCCACAGGAGGAAATCCATCACAGCAGAGGCAGAGATACCAATTTGTCATCCGGCAGTGGTCTCAGCAGACCAGAATGCAATGCAGCCACAAAACATATTGTGTTTTGACTAAGGGTTGATTCGCTTTCCACCTACATGTTTAACCCCTCAGCTGAAAGCAACAAGTTCACACCCATTCTCTCTCCTCTCAGCCAGATGGTTGGAAGTATTTCCGGAAAAATGGAAGTGATTAGACAAAGTACAGACTCAAAAAATGTTAAATGCAAAACCTCAACACATTGTATACCTTTCCTGTGTCCATTTTGGGCCCAAATAGCATGGACATGAGGTTAATGAGAGTGGAACCAAAGAGTTAAGTTGGGGGCAGGGCAAGAAATTTCACGAGGGCCACGAGTGGCCTCCTCATTTGGCCTTGTGCCCTTGAAAAAAATATCTGATCTAAGGCCACAGTGGCCTTGATGCCCCGCCCGCACTGCCCCAGGTGATTTTGCGGTTTTCTCCTCTGCCTCTTTCCTGTCAACACGGCTTTGACACCTGCGTCTTTTGAGAAAAAAATGCGATGACATTCTGGACTCTTATTGAGAAACATCAAATGAGACGATGCGTACGATGTGATCACCAGTGGTGAGTTTGATTTGAGCCTGGCATGAATGGGCTGTAACGACAGCTATCACCGGCCAACCAGGAGGCTTCATCAAACGCCCGGGCAGGGATCAGTACCGAGACCTGGTATTAAACAACCCAAGGCAAGTTTAATCAACACTGTAATAACAGTAAGCTCTGCCATTATCAGCGTCACTTTTTAAAGTTTCAGTTTCATGTATCATCATTGGAGTAGCATCCAACTGCAGCCCCGGAGCAGAAGCCCCTGACGTGACACAAGCCTCTGGCTTGCCGGAAGTGCCCCTGGCATGACGGAAGTGACATGTTTTGCTGGATAGTATTGTCGTGGTCTTTGTGTGAAACTGAGCTCGCAGGACACAGCATCTCAATGCACTAGGTTTCAGGATAAACTGGAATAAATTGGCAGAAAATAGCTATGTTGTTTATTCTGTGACCATTAGAAGAGGTACCTGGTGAGTGGCGAGGGCAGGGCTCGAGACTTGGTATCCACTCACATATGGCCCCGCCCGGGCCTGACCTCTGTGGCCTGGATGGATGCTCAAGTGTGGGTGAGGGGAGTGAAGAGGACCGCGGAGGTCAGGCCGTTACAACAGTAAATTAAGCAGAGTGACAGACCCAAAGCCTTCAATCTAGCTAAAAGACAGCTGGAAATACAGTGGTGAAGTTGGGATTTGTTTCTTGAAGTGCTCATTGCCTTTTCTGTCTCTTGCAGGCTGCCAGGAGAAGCAGACTGGCCATCAGATATTTGTGGAAATTTGAAAATAAAGTTTGTCAAATTGACTTTTGTCTCTTCATTGTGCACACTTACACACGAAATAGGGTAACAGTCAGCTATTTTTGAATGTTAGCATTGATTTCTCACATTGAATGGTGAAATATTTGTAGTTTGAAATGCCCGACCTAAATGAATAAAGGTCGTAGTTAACGAAGCATATGAATATTAATATAGAAGGAGCGACCACTGAGCGCAGCTTCTTTTATTTTTTATTTTTATTTTTTTTAATTCTTGTTCAGTGAATCAGTTTATCATGTACACTCAAAAAATATTTAGGCCTTATATTTAAGATTGTTTGCTTATAAATACATAAACCTGGTTGTTCAATATTTAAAACACATTCGGTTTATTAGTGCTATTAAATATATCACATTATTACTTATTATACTCATTATTATTACTTCAGCTTGTTTCATTTATTTATTTCACAGATAGTTATACATCGTTAGTCCTTAAATTCATTATGAACGTGGACTTAAAATCATTATTTTACTGTATGGCCTTGCTGCCCTGGCTTTTGGCCTTTGTGCCCTCAAAAAATTGACAACACGAAAGGCCAAGTGGCCTCGCCCCTAAAATGACAAAATTCCAGGCCTGGCTGGGGGGCATAAAATTGTGCCAAAAAAACATCATGTCAAACTTCCCTCAGCGCAAAATGAGGCATGCAGTATGAGTCACCTTATATGTGGGTTCTCCAAAGGTGCACCTCGTCAGTCATCAGGGCTTGACTGAACACACATGAAACCAACTGCCAGCGGGTCAAGTCATCACAGACATATCAGAACAATCCAACTCCACAGCACTGACACATTCTCATACATATACAGTACAGGCCAAAAGTTTGGACACACCTTCTCATTCAATGCGTTTTCTTTATTTTCATGACTATTTACATTGTAGATTCTCACTNTTTTGTTAAGTACATAACTCCACATGTGTTCATTCATAGTTTTGATGCCTTCAGTGAGAATCTACAATGTAAATAGTCATGAAAATAAAGAAAACGCATTGAATGAGAAGGTGTGTCCAAACTTTTGGCCTGTACTGTATCTACCCACAAAAAGAGTGACTCATCATTTACACCTCATTTAGCACTGAGGAAAGTCCAACATGGACTGAAATGTTTTTCACTGACAGTACAGCTCCATGATGTTAACAGAAGCATTTAAAAATCCAGACTCTACTCTGAATCCCTTTGTTCTCTGTATGTAAATCCTCCCTTACTGCATCATACCCCACAGGTCCCATGCGGTCACAGTCTATCAACACAGGTTACCAGGCCGACTGGCCCAAGTAATGCTCACATAGCAAATGCAAAGTTATCAGCTACCATTAGCTAGCCTGGTTAGTAAGGTGCATCCATAATTCACGCTGACTGTGATATTAAGTGTGTGCTAATTTTGGCAACTCTATGGTTATAGATAAAAACTGACCTGTTATTATTGTGACTCCTGTCCCGCCCGGTCACGTGCCTCGTGAAACAGATTGCTGCAGGAATGAAAGTTTTTGTAGGCCAGTGTGAAAGTTAGCTTCGCTCTAGTCCCCTCGTCAAAAAGCTGATGGGATTTTCCATTGGATTATTACAGAAAATAAGCTCTGTGGCAAACAAACGTTAATGATACTTAAACGTTTTGTTCAGTAAGATAATCTTCACAAATAAACACAGCTTTTCTGATTTTTGACGCCTCAATGCAATCGCCAGATATAAAAAGCTAACGTTAGGCTATCAATGAACTACACAAAGGTCACATGACTTCAACTTCACCACCCACAACGAGCCGGTGAAGCCATGTTCGGCATGATGGCCTTCTGCAGTCTCATTAAGCCCCTTGTTAGCATCCGTTTTTTTAAGACACTAAATGCTTTAAAATTCATGAGTTAGGTATTTACTGATGTATTTATTTTAGGCATCTAACCAAAAACCCTTTCAAATAACCCATTGACTTCAAGATGGGGAAACTGGGAGTTCTAAATGCTAACTTATTTCTGGGTTTTTGGACTCATCCTTGCAGCATTCTATTGATTCCCATCCTCTGGGAAATTCCCCCCAAAAATGTCAGCCTCTACTCTTAAAGAGAATCTATTTTGAAAAAGGCTTTCAATTGAGATCATAACCTCATTAGGAAAATGTTCACTTTGGTGAGAAGTAGGGTCATTTTCTACAACCTTTTTGCAGCTGGTGGAGTGGAGGAATGCAGATTTAAGGCACCTCCATGCTGACTTTTAAGACCTGGAGTCTCATTTGAAAACTCTGCGCTCGTAAAAACAGACTTAACTTTGACCAGTGCTTATGAACATTTTGGAGATGGGACATTGACAGATGGTGAGGTAGTAGCCTGATTGTAGAAATTGTAAAATATGTTTGGCTTTTTTATGGTACGTACATTTTTAGTATGGATTCTACACTTTGTTTTATAAATGAGACCCCTGGAGATCATATCCACTAATGCTTATAACTAGGTATGGTTATGTGTAAAACAGAGCAGTGTTACAGTGTGTATAACTGTACAATGATAGTTTTGATGACATGCTGGTTTACTTTCCCAGGATGGACTTCACAGTGGTTACAACATGTACATGTGTTTGTACTGTCGGCAGGGTGTAATCACTGTGCTGTGCCTATTTGCATAAGTAATTAGCTCTGACAGACACAGGTCTTTTACAGTGTTTAGTCAGCCAGCTGAAAGCAAACAAGAGGAAGGACTTACTGAAAATGCTGGAAGTGAGTGTTGGCTGTTATCCTAATTTGCTATTAACATGCAAGAAAAAAAGCAATACATATCAAAACACTGAATCTCAGTGTCACACATATCGTGAGATTAAACCGCATCAGCTTGCCAGCTGTTCGGCTGCCTCACCCAACAAGAAAAAAAAAAAAAAAGACTGAGACTCAACTGAGATGAAAACCAGCAAGATTAAAGCCATTTCTGAGGAACTTTGTTTGGCTGCAATCTCTGCGACAAACCCTCAAAGAGCGTAATGAAATAAAGCAGGCCGATAACATGAAAGTAAAAGTGGTCGTCAGGTTCAATGATTGCATGTCGGTGAGTCGCCTCTTTCCTCATCTGTGCTGACACTGTTGTTACAACCCCCTTAAGGTGGGACAGCCAGTGGAAAGGGTGATTTGTCATGATTGTGTACACTCCTTCCAAGTGTGTGCGCATGTGTGTGTGCGTTGGAGTCGATATTGCTCTGGGGGGAGAGTTTGAGCTGACAGTGACATAATTCACAC